TACACCCGGGCGCTGATGTAGCGTGTCACTAAGGAAATGATGACCCGGTCCTTGCTCACTTAACACCATGCCCAGACCACGACATGGCGTGTCCCCGAGGGGGAGACGACCCGGCCCTTGCCCATTTGACACCATATCCCGGGTTTCGATATGGCGCGTCGCTAAGAGGGTTACGCCCCACCGAATTTCTATTGTGTTTCATCTCCATAGAACGACTAGTTTTACGTTGGCTCGCCAAGCCTATCACAACCTTCCTCCTTTACCAGAGGTTGGGACCTGCAGTAAATATCCAACTGAGTAGGCTTATAAATTTCATATCAGTAAAATAAAAAAGGAAAAAAATTAATGCTACCAATAACAATTGTAATATTTGGTGCACATACAAAATAGATGAAGAAATAAATAAAAGCACACAACAAATCTCTCTCTCTCTCAATATATATGTATATATATAAATAAGTTTGTATTTATTTAAAATAAAAAGTAAAATCCTGCCTAAAAAATCTTAAATCGCTAACATTCATGCGAAACCTAATCCCCAAAAAAATCTCCAAAAAATATCGTGGGCGTCTTCTGAAAATTACTCTTGGCTGGAAAACTCTCAATCCGGCGGATTCAACCACCTCAAGCCGAGGTTTTCGGTTCTTTTCTGAAAGTGAGAGACCTTGTCCGTGGGCCAAATGAGCAGCCACCTGTGAGTCTCGTCTCTTTTGCGGGGGCTTCTTCTCATGCATCAGCAGCTGAGCAGGTATTCTAATGTCTATTATATTTGTTTTTATATTTTGAATTTGTTGCTGTTGTCGTATCTCTTATTATATCTTTCTTATGTATCAGGTAAATTTTTATGGCCATTATCTATTGTTATATTTTGAATTTGTTGATGTTGTAGTATCTCTTATTATATCTTTCTTATGCATCAGGTAAATTTTTATGGCCATTATCTATTGTTATATTTTGATTTTGTTGCTGTTGTAGTATCTCTTATTATGTCTTTCTTATGCATCAGATCTGTTGTTATATTTTGATTTTGTTGCTGTTGTAGTATTTCTTATTATGTCTTTCTTATGTCTTTGTGTTTTGTTTCTTTGTTCTATATGCGGACATTTATTTTTAGTCGAATTTTTTGAAACTCTGGATAATGGTAGTCATGGCAGTCATGGCCTCACGGGTAATGTTAATATTTTTGTACTCATGAATACCAGTCTTTAGTCCTTTAGCTTCTATCTTGTACTTGTGAAGCTAGGACCTGTCCTTCAGTTCTTCGAAAGAAGGCTATTGAGAATAGATTCGATATCGATGTTGAGACTAGTTCTCTGTTCTTTGAGTTGTTCCTCGTATGGATAGCTACTGATATTCAATAACTCATATCAATAATATCTTATTAATGGATAAGTGAAGTCATGCTGGTAGCTGGTTATTGTTCTCTTATAAAAATGAATACCCGACCTTTGCTCCGCTAGTTGAAAGCCTTAAGCGATGGGGTTTCACCAACGGCAGGAGTGAGTTCCTGCCAAGGGTCGATTTAATTGAGGACGACCCGCATCATTTCATTTAAAATATTGATTATATTATCACAAAACATGCATATGCTATACATTTATGTATTTTGTATTTGAATACAGTGTGTGTATATACAAGTATATGTTTATTGAAATTGAAATGTTGTGGATGACTATCATCCATTAGTCAGCTTTCCCAAGAACTAAAATAAAAGTGGAATGTACATAGTCTATCCATATTTATTTATAATTGAATCTGCTATTATATATATTATTGTGTATTTGTATGTGCATGAAACTAAACATAATATTTTGACTTAGCATTGTCAATATAAACAGAAAATTACAGCATAAAAGCATAAAGATATATATAGCTCACATTGAAATATTATTTGACCTTTTAATCTTTACTAGCTATATTTTATTGAAGATGAGAGCAAAAGATATTTTGGGAGGAAATCTTCCCTTCTGATTTCTTCTCATTTTAATTTAATGATCATGTTACAAAGTTTGTATTTAGTGTCTTAGTTTAGCTAGTCAAGTTAGTCATCGTGTGAGAACTTCCCATATTGTGACCACTTTTAGCGTGTTTAGAAAAGCGTGTTGTTGTTTTAGGTTTTAGTTTTTTTTGTGTGTTTCATTTTTGGGTATCATCTCCCCCTCCACTCGTCCCGAGTTGGAGTTTGTGCTCCAACATTTGGGCGCTGCTATAGGAAGAGATCGATTTAGTAGGCTACAGAGACCGAAGACACCGAAGACACCTCTGATGTATGCTGAGCATCTTTCAAATTTCACAGGATCTCATGGTCTGAGGGCTACGGGCATTCGAGCAAAATATTGCATAGACTTTGCTAAATATGCGGATATTGCTGATTTCCTCGATGAATTTGCGGAGGAAGGGTTGAGCGTGGATGACTTAATCGATTGCATTGTTGCATTTCCGAGTATAATTATCCACGACGGAGAAAACGTAATTTTTAGCTCTCTTAAGCAAATGCATCATGTGTGGAATCGGCACGGAAAAGCCACAAAGCTTAATAAATGAACATATTTTCGTTTGTCGGCAAATGTCTTCAAAGTGTTGTTGTTGATCCATGAAACATTTAATCCCTGTAAGAAAAAAAAATATTGTTTCTTCTTTCTCTCTTTTTTTTTTTTTTTTTTATCAAACTTTGAGTTGTTTGGTCTCTTACAGAGTTGGGACTGAAAAGGAATGAAGACATGGCCATAGCTAGCTTCATATCTTTTTTTTTCAAGAAGATAGTCACTTTCACACTGCTTGACAGTGTTGGTAACGACGTTGGATACTTCGTGGACGGCTTAGTTGAAGTTCTTGATGGAAATATAAAATTTCA